TCAGGAAATACGTACTAGGATATTTACTGTGGCTTGACTTGTAGTAGCCAAAAATTGGAAACAACTGAGAATGCCCATCAGGAACTCTATGGGAAATTCTTATGTAATACTATATATCTGTAACATGCAACCAATGAAATCCACATGTATTCACAGAAAGATCCCGGAAGTGTTGAGGGGGGATCAAGTTGCAGAAGGATGCAGATAGTACAATGACTTTGTAAATTTGAATGAAAAGTTCCCTCACAATACTCAGTACTGTCTATTGGTAATGGATGCATATATGTATGTACATGTTGTTGAAATGGGTTGGAAGGATACAGACCAAACTCTTGATAGTGGTCACCTGTGAAGAGTGGAGAAGGGAAAGTAATGCGTGTGGGAGGTGGGGTGGGTATTGGTTAAAGGGGGACTTGAGCTTTTTATATAAACATCCACTTCTCTTTAAAAGGACTTCAAGTAAATATAAGAAGATTCTGATTGATTCTGGATTGTGGTATATGGATATCTTGTCTTATTTTTTGTACTTTTCTGTATTTTTAAAATTTCTCAATAGGAATGGGAGTGAGGATGGAAATACTGTATCTGTAGAAGTCATGTTATACTGGATTCATTTCCAATCAAATACTAAACATTTTATAAAAAATATTTCTAAAATTTTATCACGGATAAGTGGATGGACTTGCTCTCTATGTAATATGAAATTAATCTATTTTATTAAAATTTAAAAGGACAGCATAATCCAAATCTGTTTTGATTATTTTAACATGGGATACATACTATATTGGGGTCCCACTGTGTGGTAGGAGGTGAGTGTCTGGTGAGCAAGCATTTGTCACCTGAGCTCCACCTCCTGCCAGATCAGCGGTGGCATGAGAGTCTCATAGGAGCACAAAGCCTGTTCTGAACTGCATGTGAGGAATCTAGGTTGTGCGCTTCTTATGAGAACATGATTCCTGGTGATGTGAGATGGAACAGTTTCATCCTGAAAACATCCCATCCGCATCCCCCACCCCCACAACCCCTCCGTGGAAAAATTGTCTTCCAAGAAATGTCAGTTTTCCTGTCCTGCATATTGTCATAGGAAATGTGTGCATTAAATACTGAATTTTTGATAGTATCTTTTTTTTTGGTGTTGCTCTGTTGCCCAGGCCAGAATACCATGGCAGGATCTTGATTCAAGCCACCATCAGTCTCCTCTGCCTCGTGGGCTCAAGCAGCCCTCCCACCTCAGCCTCTCAAGTAGCTGGACTACAGGCAGGCACCCCCATGCTGTGCTAATTTTTTTTTAATTGTAGTTATGAGGGCTCCGTATATTGTCCATGTTAGTCTCAAACTCCTGGGCTCAAGTGATCCTCCCATGGCCTCCTAAATTGCTGCCATTACGGGTATGAGTCACCGTCCCCAGCTAATTTTGTTTTAAAAAAGAAAATTGCAGTAATCCCAGCGCTTTGGAAGGCCAAGGTGGGTGGATCACGAAGTCAAGAGATTGAGACCATCCTGGCCAGCATGGTCAAACCCTGTCTCTACTAAAAATACAAAAATTAGGCCGGGTGTGGTGGCTCAAGCCTGTAATCCCAGCACTTTGGGAGGCCGAGGCGGGTGGATCACGAGGTCAAGAGATCGAGACCATCCTGGTCAACATGGTGAAACCCCGTCTCTACTGAATATACAAAAATTAGCTGGGCATGGTGGTGCGCGCCTGTAGTCCCAGCTACTCAGGAGGCTGAGGCAGGAGAATTGCCTGAACCCAGGAGGCGGAGGTTGCGGTGAGCTGAGATCGCGCCATTGCACTCCAGCCTGGGTAACAAGAGCGAAACTCCGTCTCACAAAAAACAATATATAACTCTTTGGATAGCATTTACAGTGTATTAGGTATTATGAGTGATGTAGAGATGATTCAGATTATATAGGAGGACGTGTTTAGGCTGTATGTAAATGCTGTATGTAAATTTCATGTGAGGATCTGGAGCATCTGAATTTAGGTGTCTGGGGGGCTGTCTTGGAACTTCCTCTTGGATACCAGAAGGACGACAGTACTATGGGAAAACAAGCTGTTTTATGAAAAATCTGGAATTGGAATTTTGCCTATTTACTGCTGCTCAATAACAAGGTTAAACATGATTTTGTCATACAAGGCAGTGATAATTTGACATTTATTTAGCTCTGGTGCCCTCCCCCACATCCCTCTGCAGAATGTTTTTATCTAAATTAGTTGTTCTTCAGTGTACGTTAGAATCACCTAGATGATTTGTTGCTGGGCCCTTCTCCAGGGTTTCTGATTCAGTAAATCGGGTGGGGGCTAGAATTTGCATTTCGGAGAAGTTCCCAGAGCACACTGATGATGCTGTACCAGGGACCACCACAGTTTGGAAACCCCTGTTCTAACCATTTTATTTTCAGGAAAGTTCTGTTGGATAGTAGTATTCATCCAATTATTTGCCCATTTTGTATGTAGGAAAAGAAGGCCAGGTGCAGTGGCTCACACCTGTAATCCCAGCACTGTGGGAGGCTGAGGTGGGCAGATCACTTGAGCCCAGGAGTCGGAGACAAGCCTGGCCAACACAATGAAACACAGTCTCTACAAAAAAAATACAAAAATTAGCCAGGTGTGGTGGCACACACCTATAGTCCCAGCTACTTGGAGGGATGAGGCGGGAGGATCGCTTGAGCCCAGGAGGTTGAGGCTGCAGTGAGCTGTGATTGTGCCACTGCTCCAGGCTGGGTGACAGAGTGAGACCCAGTCTCAAAAACAAAACAATACTTTCACATCTACTTAGGGAACCAAGACTAAAGCAAGTTAAGACTTCTATTTCAGTGCAATAGATACGAGAGAAAGCTCTTGGAAACTTTTTGAGTATTTCCCTACTACTTACATGCCAGTTGTGTTCATCTGTGTGTTTTTTTAATTCCTATAAAGGAATACCTGAGACTGAGTAATTTATAAACAAAAGAATTTTATTTTGGCTCATGGTCTTGCAGGCTGTACAGGAAGCATTGTGCTGGCATTTGTTTCTGGTGAGGCCCCAGGGAGCTCATAATCATAGTGGAAGGAGAAGGGGATGTCGCCAAGTCATGTGGCAAGAGAGGGAGCAAGACAGGGTAGGTCCCACCCTCTTAACCAGATCTCTCCTGAACGACCAGAGTGAGAATTTACTCATCACCAAAGAAATAGCACTAAGTCATTTATGAGGGATCCACCTCCATAATCCAAACACCTCCCACCAGGCCCCACCCTGGGGTGACTGAGATCCCATCTCAAAACAACCAACAACCAGAGTGAACATGAAGATAGGTAGGGGTGATAGCATGTAGATGACTGACTCTTCTTGAATCGTTTTGCTGGAAGACCAGATGTGACACAGTAGCTTGAGGCAGACGCAAGATTTAGGAAGGGGTTTTGGTTCTTTGTACTAATTAAAGCTGGAAGACATAGAGGATGCTTGTAAAATGGTAGTGACCCAGTAAGAAAACTGCAGAACAAGGCCAGGCGCAGTGGCTCACCCCCATAATCCCAGCACTTTGGGAGGCCAAAGCGGGCAGATCACTTGAGCTCAGGAGTTTGAGACCAAACATGGTAAAACCCATCTCTATCAAAAAATACAAAAATTAGCCAGGCATGGTGGCAGGCACCTGTAATCTCAGGTACTCCGGAGGCTGAGGCACAAGAATTGCTTGAACCTGGGAGGTGGAGGTTTCAGTGAAGCAAGATTGTGCCACTGCACTCCAGCCTGGGCTACAGAGCGAGACTCAGTCTGAAAAAGAAAGAATAAAGAGGAAGGAAGGAAAAGAAAGAAGGGAAAAAAGGAAAGGAAGGAAGAAAGAAAGAACTGCAGGAGAAAAGTATTTGAGAGGCTGAGAGAAGAGGAGGCTGTTGGCCCATCTGGTGTTTAATAGGAACTGGGATACTTCGGATTTGGAGGGGAAAGAACAGATAATGTAGGTGCCAATTCACGCAGATCTGAGAATCTGATAGTGTGGAAACTAAAAGTAGTTCCTATCTGGTTAGTTGTATTTTCTCAATAAAAGATCGGCTGGAGTCATTTGCTTAGAATGAAAGGGGAGGAGAGGATATGGAAGATTTGTGATAAAAGGGAGTATGTTATTTATTTATTTTTGAGACGGAGTCTTGCTTTGTCAGGCTAGAGTGCAATGGCGGGCTCTCCGCCCACTGCAACCTCCACCTTCCCGGTTCAAGCAATTCTCCTGCCTCAGCCTCCTCAGTACCTGGGATTACAGGTGTGCGCCACTACTCCCGACTAGTATTTTTTTTATAGAAGGTAACTTTTTTTTTCTCATCAGGCAGCCTTCATTTCAGACATCCCTGAGATGCGTCTAACAACACATTTGGAGTTTTTATGAAACTGACTTAAAACATGCAACCTCCGCCTCCCGGGTTCAAACGATTCTCTTGCCTCAGCCTCCCAAGTAGCTGGGACCACAGGCGCGCGCCACCATGCCCAGCTAATTTTTGTATTTTTAGTAGAAACGGGGTTTCACCATGTTGGCTAGGATAGCCTTGATCTCTTGACCTCGTGATCCGCCCGCCTCAGCCTCCCAAAGTGCTGGGATTACAGGCGCGAGCCCGAGCCCGCGCCCGGCCTGAAAAAGGCTCAGTTCTAAGCCTAGGGGCTGCGGCCGGGGATTCTACCATATCGTTTGGCGGGCTCGAAGCCAGGACAGTCGTTGCGACCTGGAAAGCTCCGCGCCTGTGACGCTCGCCTACTCGGGACCACATTTCTCAAGGTTTATGGCGCACTTAGGCGGTGACTTGCCCAGGACTACATTTCCCAGGGTTGGCCTGCGCTGTACTACCTTTCCCAGGGTCCGCCGCGCATCTTGGTGGAGGCTAGTGAAGCATCCTCCCTGCCTCGAGGCTACCACCTGCCAGAATTCGTGCTTTGGGAGAGTCCCTGGTGCCCGGGTGAATGGGTTCAGGGTCTCCTAAGGACCCTCCGTTGACAACGCCTCCAGCTGCCTAGTCTGGGTTTATGACTCACCCTGGCTCCGTCCACGGTTGTCGGGGGCCTGGGCTGCCTTTCTTGGAGGGCTCGGTCCCGGAGGCTATTCTGAGTCCCGGTTCCTTCTCCAGGCTGCGGGCCTCCGGGTAATGGGTCCGCTGTCGCGGTTTGGTTGCGAGGCTCAGACGGAACCCGACTGGGATCGCCCCCGAGATGCAGTCGGTGAGGGAGCCAGGAGCCTGTGGTCGGGCGGGAACCCCAAGGCTGCGGGAGCCGGAGGGGGCGCTGGGGAGACGTGTTTGTTCGCGTGCGTGTGTCTGTGTGCGCGCGTTTCTGTGTGAACTCGTGTGTATGTTTGCATCTCTGTGTGCCCACGTGTCTTTGTGTGTGCGTCTCTTTGCGCACTTGTGTTTGGGTGCGCGGGTCTCTGTCCACACGTTGGTGTGTGCCCCGGTCTCCGTGTGTGCGTATGTGTGACGCCAGCCGGCTGTGTGACGTTGTGCATGATTGTGACAGCAGCATTAAGTGTGGCCATTTGGGACCACGTGAACGGTTTTTGTTGACTGTGTGTGACTCTTGCTTATGTTATTGACTGTGTGTCAGTACCTAAGGCGGGAGTGTGTATTGCGCAGGTTGTAACAGTATGGTGGTGTGTCATGAGTGGTTTTAAAAATAGGAAACAACCAGGGTGTTTTTCTTTCTACATTTACACACACCACTCACTAATCTGTGGGTTTTTTTCTCTCACACTAAGCAGTTCTTCAGCGGACACCAACTGGGTGTCCTGCAATTCAGTGCCATTCTGACTCTGCCTGGAGATAGCAGCAGAATCCATCTTTGGTTAAGGGCTTAGTCCCACAGTACTGCCCCATTTCAGATGCCAGTTGCAGGTCCCAGGATGTGACCTGTGCTTCTGCCATACTGGCTATAAATTGGGGTTCCCATGACCCCTCAAGTCTGAGCATTTTGCTAGAGTGGTTTACAGAACTCAGAGAAACACTTTACTTATGTTTACCTATTTATTATAAAAAATATTGCAAAGGTTACAGATTAACAGCCAGATGGAAGAGATGCATAGGGCAAGGTATGGGGGAGGGGTACAGAGCTTCCATGCCCTCTCTGGGGGCACCACCCTCCAGGACCCTTTACATGTTCAGTAATCCAGAAGCCTTCCAAACCTGTTTAGTTTAATCGCAGCTACTTGGGAGGCTGAGGCAGGAGAATCACTTGAACTGACTCACACAGATTCAGACTTGGAGCACAGCGACTCAGACTCAGGTTCAAGTGATTCTTCCAAACCTGTTAGTTTAGTTTAATCCCAGCTACTTGGGAGGCTGAGGCAGGAGAATCACTTGAACCTCGGAGGCGGAGATTGCAGTGAGCAGAGATCATACCACTGCACTTCAGCTTGGTCGACAGAGGGAGACTGAAAAAAAAAAAAAAAAAGAAACGGGAAAAAGAAATACACAGTTTATGAGGAAAAACAGAACATGGTTATAAGTAATTTCTGCAATGTAGACATTTCCAGGGTGTAATAAGATGGTTGGTTGAAAGCTGGGGCTGATATAGGAGATGTTTTGTGTCTACACAAAACATTGTTGAGGAGGAAGAGGTGGGACAGGAATGATTAGGGATAAAGGAGGGAACAGTAGATGGCAGGGTCTTTTTCTTTTTTAGTCACAGAAAGTTTTATTGTAAAGGAATGAGCTGCAGCAAAGTGACACTCAGTGCACGCGGCCAAATAGGCAAGGTGGGGGGTACAGGTGGGCACCAGGGGCCGGCCCAAGATGGGAGCCAGTGACCGCTGGGGCCTGCTTGTGGGGCCTCTGGCCACAGGCCCTTTGGGCTGGAGGGTGTAGGCCCAGAAGAAATAGAAAAATAAACTCTGTGGTTCAGCTGTCCCTGCTTGTGGCAGTTCATTTGGGCAGGGCAGTTGTTCTTCCCACCAGGTCCCCTGCTGCAGGCTGCTTAGTGTGAGAGAAAAAAACCCACAGATTAGTGAATGGTGTGTGTAAATGTAGAAAGAAAAACACCCTGGTTGTTTCCTATTTTTAAAACCGCTCATGACACACCACCATACTGTTACAACCTGCGCAATACACACTCCCGCCTTAGGTACTGACACACAGTCAATAACATAAGCAAGAGTCACACACAGTCAACAAAAACCATTCACGTGGTCCCAAATGGCCACACTTAATGCTGCTGTCACAATCATGCACAACGTCACACAGCCGGCTGGCGTCACACATACGCACACACGGAGACCCGGGCACACACCAACGTGTGGACAGAGACCACAGCATGGGCAGCAGGAGCCTGAGGGGTGAGTGGGCATCCACAGGCTGGAGCCAAAGGGCTAGGCAGGTGTGGCCTTGGGCAGTGCCAGGACTGTGGCAGTGCCAGGGTCTGGCCAGCAGCTGGGGAGGCCCTAGGGACCTCTCAGGCAGACAGGTCCAGGCATTGGTTGAAGCTGGAAGAAGCTGGGGCCTCTGCTCCTCCTCATCACATACAGAACACTGAGACCCTGTCCTCCTCCATGGTGCTGGTCTCCTCGGCCCCACCCCCACTGCCTCCACTTCTGCTTTCTTCCTCCACCTCCTCCTCCCCCAGCTCCATGTTCAGCTCATTGCCTGCCTCTGAGGATGTGTAGGTCGAGCCACTGATGGAGCGGCAGCTAAAGAAGACAATTTGCTTGAGCCGCTAGTTGTAGAAGAAGTAGTTGAAGGACCAGAGGCTACCATCCTCCCCGAAGGGGGCTGAGTGCAAGTCCGGGTTATCGCTGTAGATGTCACATTCAGCCAGGCAGATCTCCTCGTCCACCGTGTTCCACAGCTGTGGTTTCAGGGCCTTGAAGTCCTCCGGCACAGCTGAGAACAGACTGCAGCTGACTGCATTCACCACCCAGGTAAGGCTGGGCTCCCGGCTGAATTCATGGCTGCGGGCTGTGCCGAAGTCATAGTCAGGCCTGAAGGACTCATCGAGTGTGGCAATCAGGTAGAAGAGGGTCTTGCGGCTGCACTTGTCACCGAGGGAACCCTCGTCTTCTCCACCTTGGCTTTTGCTGAGTCTGCTGGGGCTGAGGCCTGAGGTCTGGGGTGGAGAGAGTGCCTCCAGCATGTGGGGCCGGCCCTCCTGGCAGAACTGCTGGAACGTGTGTTTGTCATCTATGCCATCTTACATGAGTAGCTCTCAATCCTGCCGACGATGTGGGCATCTCCAGTCTCCACGGTCAGCTGTGAGTTGATGGCCTCAAAGCTCGAGTTCTCCAACAGCTTCATGTCCTTGGGGAGGGAGCTCTGTGCTCCTGGGGGGCTAGTGCTGCCTGCCTGGCTGGGTTAGATTGGTCCGCGCCAGGCCAGACATGGCTTGGCTAGGTCACTTGGCGTCGGTGCCGGTGCGCAGGCGGGGGCGGGCTCTGCGCAGCGTGGGCTCCTCAGGATGGGAGGGCGGCGCCGCGGCCTCCGCTGGCTCGGGCTGCACTATATAAGGGGGAAGAAGCTCCGCGGCGACGTCCCGTTACTCCCGGCCCTGACGGCCCATCTGGGCTGCCACCGCGACATAGCCTCGCCCCCCCACCCCCGGCACACAGTCTGCTCTCGCGACCGACCTGCCGCCGACCGACACAGAACGCCCTGGCAAGTCAGCGAGCGAGCGAGCGAGCCAGCAACCTCCGCCTCCCCCGGCAGGACAATCACGGCAGGGTCTTAAGAGACACCTGTGTGTCCAGGCAAGTGCGGTGTGGGCGACGTTAACAACTTTCATGGGATGGACAGATGCCAAATTAAAGCAGCATTTGCTGAAGGGTTTTTTCTTCATTTGAATAATGAGGGCAAAGAGTGACATTTTGCAAAGATAAAGAAAATTCTCTCCCTAGATGAGGTCTATTCTACTCTCACACCACTGAACACTCAATAAAGAACATTTCTGACACCAGATGTGGGTTTTTTTCTCCATACACCACGCAGTTCCCCAGCAGACACCAACTGGGGTCCTACAGTTCAATTCAGTCCTGACACCACCTACCTGGAGATAGCATCAGATCCCACCGACTAAGGGATCAGTCCCACAAGATCCTTCCACTTCCGATTTCCATCTCAAGAGCCAGGTGATGACCTGTACTTCTGACCAGCTATAAATTTGAGGTTTCCACATCCTCTCCTCAGGTCTGATTAATTTTCTAGGATGGCTCACAGATCTCAGGAAAACCTTAGTACATTAGTTCATATAGCATAAAGGATATTACAGCCAGGTGTGGTAGAGCCCATCTGTAATCCCAGCGTTTTTGGAGGTTGAGGTAGGCAGATTGCTTGAGCCTACGAGTTGGACATCAGCCTTGGCAACGCAGAAAAACCTTGTCTTTACTAAAATACAAAACTTAGCTGGGTGTGGTAGTGCACACCTGTAGTCCTAGTACTTGGGGAGGCTAAGGTGGGAGGATTGTTTGAGCCCAGGAGGTCAAGGCTGTGGTGAGCCCAGATCATGCTACTGAACTCCAGCCTGGACAATAGAGAGAGACTGCATGTCAAAAAATAAAATAATAAAAAGGGTATTACAAAGGTTATGGATGAAAAGGTACCTAGGGCAACGTATGTGGGAAGTCGCACTGGGCTTCAATGCTCTCTCCCCAGCACATCATCCTCTGGTAAACTCCACGTGTTCAGCAGTCTAGAAGCTCTCTGAACACAGTCCTTTTGGGTTTTCATGGAGGCTTCACTTCATAGGCATTACTGATTACATCATTGGTCATTGGCAGTCAACTCAACCTTTACCTGCCATCCCCTGCCTGGAGGTGAAGGGGTGGAGCTGAAGGTTCCAACCCTCATATCACATCCTGAGGCCATCCACGAGCCTACCAAGTCACCTCATTGGAAGATAAGATGCTGCTATCAGCCAGGAAATCCCAAGGGATTTGAGAGCTGTGTCCGGAACTAGGGCAAAGACCAGATATTAGAACAAATGATCCTCCTACTCCCCAACAGTTTTAAGGAGCTCTAAACCAGGAGCTGGGGCAGAGACCAATATATGTATATTTCCTGTTATTTTATATTCCCAACTCCCCATGTTTATCCATTTTAAAAGTCTGGTAAGTTTCCTTTACCTCTCTCCTTGCTCAGAGATGCACACACATATATATTGAGTGACTTCTGTTCCCTTTTGGCTGTACTAGAATTATTTGTTATTTATTAATTTTTTTTTTGGTGAAACAGTGTCTTGCTCTGTTGCCCAGGTTGGAGTGCAGTGGGACAATCTCAGCTCACTGCAACCTCCGCCTCCCAGGTTCAAGTGATTCTCCTGCCTTGGCCTCCCAAGTAGCTGGGATCACAGGCACCTGCCACTACACCCAGCTAATTTATTTATTTATTTTTATTTTTAGTAGAGATGGGGTTTCACTGTGTTGGCCAGACTGGTTTACAACTCCTGACCTTGTGATCTGCCTGCCTTGGCCTCCCAAAG